TCAGATTTTCCAGCATCTGCAGTTCCTGCCATCTCAGATACTAGATACTTGAGAGAATCATTCTTCACGAAGGAACAAAGTAATATTATGGAAGTCTCACCCATCAACGATTCTTCCATAACCCTGGACATTTTACCTCCTCATTTGAGACTCTGCTCATCCATTTAACTGCATGGATTTACTTACAGAGGAAAGTTGTATCCTTGTTTTGGTCCCATTCTGAATGATTGAGTTTCTCTGGTCATTCTTGCTGCTGGGATATGTTTCCTTATGCCATCATAGAGTCATAGACATCTACAGCACGGAAACAGAACCTTTGGTCCAACATGTCCATGCTGACCAGATATTCTAAGTTAATCTAGTCCCATTTGCCAGAATTTGGCCCATATCCCTCTAAGCACTTCCTATTCATTTACTCATCCAGATGCCTTTTAAATGTTGTAATTGTACCAGCCTCCACCACTTCCTCTGGCAGCTCATTCCATACATGCATCAGCCTTTGTGAAAAAGTTGCTATTTAGGTCCATTTTAAATCTTTCCTCTCTCACCTTAATCCTATGCCCTCAAGTTTTGGACTCCCCTACCCTAGGAAAACGACCTAACTATTCACCCTATCTATGCCCCTCATGATTTTATAGACTTGTATAAGGTCACGCCTCATCCTTTGATGCTCCAGGGAAAATAGCCCCAGTCCATTCAGCTTCTCCCAAGGCTCAAACCCTCCAACCCTGGCAACATCCTTGTAAGTCTTTTCTGGACCCTTTCAAGTTTCACAACATCCTTTCCTATAGCAGGGAGACCAGAATTGAATGCACTATTCCAAAACTGGCCTAACCACTGTCTCGTACAGCTGCAACATGACCTCCCAACTTCAATACTTGATGCACCAACCAATAAAGTCAAGCGTGCCGTATGCCTTCTTCAGTGTTAGGTAAATTAGTTAAAGCTTGAATTTGTAACACAGGTAATCTCTCTCAGTTTTTCTGGGTCTTGATCCTATTCCACCATACTCGTGCCAGTGGAAGAGCATCAGAATTTTCCTGGATGTCACAATAACTTCTCCTTATGCATGTTGTGAAACAGCTGTATTGTGTTCATTAAGTATTCTTCCATGTGCTTTCGATGGGAGCTGAGCAGCCAACAGAACAGAAGTGACTATTTATATGATTGTCTGATCATAAACACTGACCTTTGAGGTAGTTTTTGAAGGATAGATGACAGTGGAATTAATTGATGCATGTGGAAGTGTTATTAACCTCCAGGTTACAGTCGAGTTGGAGGCCACATATTTGACTTTGCTCATGTCAGTCATGGATAGATTAGTTGTCAATGCCTGCCTTGAACTTAGACACATATTCATCTTCCTGCATTTTGGAATATATGTAGCAGAATCAGAAAGATATGACAGAGAACATTATAATGGGGTAGTATGGATAATGTGCTAACAAAAGAATGCTTTGAGCTAATGATTTGGTCAATGTGCCAGGAGAGAGAGACAATAATTTAATTTGCAGCTGACATCAACGTCTTTCAAAGTGTAATAAAGGAACTACTAGTTTAATTCGATCAATGTGAAATAGGAATATTTTCACATAATTTGGCAGCACAATAATGAGTTTTCTTTCAAAGTAATCCTGCATGTAATAGATTGAGGAATGCAGTATTTTGTAAGTACAGAAACATTTTGGTGTAATGCATGATGTGCAAATATATGTAATTTGCTTTTAAGGTCACAAAACACAGTTTTTGTGCTTTCCTCAGATCAATGTGAGGAGCTAATTGTTCTTCAGAGTCTCAGGTCAATTACAGTTTCGAAGAAATTTGGATAAAATGCAACCAGCTGTGTTCTGAGCTCTGGCAATACCCTGTAAATCTCTTGCAGCTGAAGGATAACAATGTGTGCTTCACACGTTATATTAACGTTAACTAAATTAAGTCTTTTAGTGTATTATTCTAAAAATCTGTATTTTCTCTGATTAATTCCTATGGAAACAACAGCTGAGTAATTATTTACAATAGTATCTCATTGTAGTACAGTGGTTAGTACAAGCCAGAGAAGACAAAGCACAGATTGTCCCTCGGAACCAATGCTATTACATGTGTTTTATGCAACAAGATGTATAAGTAACGTTGGAAAATGTTTATCTAATATTTAATTAATTTTGCAATTTACATAAAATACACAGTTTGCAAATACTGCCATTTGATATCAGTGCTTATTTCAGTACCTAATTAATTTTTGAATGTTTAAAAACCAAAATATATATAAGCAGTAAAATACTTAACTGTAAAATTCTCAGCTACACAAAACTCTATGTTTCCTGCAATTATGATCTATGTTTTAACTGAAAAAGTGTTATATCAATATAATTCTGACTGTTATACAGCCTCATATAATTTACAGCTCAAACACAGGCTATTCAACCCAACTGGTCTACATTGGTGTTCATGTTCCACACAAACCTTCTTGTATCTTACTTCGTCTAACCTTTTTAACATATTGTTCTATTCCACACTCTCTCATTTAATACTCTAGCTTCTCTTGAAATACAACTATGCAATTCATCTCAGCTACTCCAAATTCCAAATTCCAAATTCCAAATTCTAACTACACTGTAGGTAAAACAGTTGTTTATTGTGAATACCTTATTGGGATTTTGGTGTTAATCTTATACCGTATTTATAACCTATAGTTTTGGACTCTCACATAAGTGGAAATACTGCCCACTTCCCGAGATAGGTGCAGTCCAACACCACACAAGAAACTCAATATGATTCAGTACTCACTCGAGTGGCTCACCACCCAACAACTTAAATGTGCAATTTCTCCACCACAATGTACAGTGGCAGCACTGTGTTCCATTTACAAGATGTATTACAGAAACTTGCCCCATCTTTATTATGGGATAGTAAGAACTGCAGATGCTGGAGTCAGAGATAATGCAGTGTGGAGCTGGAGGAACACAGCAGGCCAGGCAGCATCAGAGGAGCAGGAAAGTTGATGTTTCGGGTTGGGACCCTTACTTTTCATAATTTTAAACTGTATTACATAACTCTCAGCATCCTCTTTTCCAGTGAGAGAAGCCCCAGCCTCTTCAGTTATAACCTGATGGTTATAACCTCTCAGTTGTTGACCTGCCATAGAAGTTGAGAAAAACTGAACTTAGTAACCTGCTGCCTGTAGTGATGCCAAGTGTGCATATACTGTGCAGTTGTGGATCCCAGAGACTAAGGCAAATTCAGCAGCTTTTTTCGTGGAGCTCTCAAACAACCATTCAGAGCTCCTCAGAATCATCTAAAAGCTAGCTCAAAAGAAAAGCAAGCTCCTAGACTTCTTCCTTGTTTATCTTCACATCCATGTTTTGGTCCTAAACACAAATCATTTACAGATCTCTGAATGATGGATGAAATCCACCCTTTTAAAGTTAGTTTAAAATGGTGCCTATGATTTTAAAATGTATCAAAACTAATATGTTAAAAGTCATTCATAGCTGTTCTTCAAATTTTTTTTTGCAAGGAAATTGCTTTTAATTACTGCTTTGTTTTACATTCACCTTAAAATCTTATGTTGTTCAAACTGCTCTGAGGTTTACTACTATTGTCTTGCTACTGATTTCTCTTTACGTTCTTAATCTTTAGTCTTTGCATCTTCAGCAGGGTGCATATTCATTTAAGTTACTACTCATCCATTCTCCATTGCTGACTGCGCAGAAACAATCAGATTCAAGATTAAGATTACAAGATGATCAGAGGATTAGATAGGGTGGACAGTGGGAGCCTTTTTCCTCAGATGGTGGTGGCTAGCACGAGAGGACATAGCTTTAAATTGAGGGGTGATAGATATAGGACAGATGTCAGAGGTAGGTTCTTTACTCAAAGAGTAGTAAGGGCATGGAATGCCCTGCCTGCAAGAGTAGTAGACTCGCCAACTTTAAAGGCATTTAAACGGTCATTGGATAAACATATGGATGATAATGGAATAGTTTAGGTTAGATGGGCTTCAGGTTGGTTTCACAGGTTGGCGCAACATCGAGGGCTGAAGGGCCTGTACTGTGCTTTAATGTTCTATCTATGTTCTATGTTCTAAGCGATAAGAGAAACAATTAACAAAGCTAACTATATCATAACTAATGCCAGAATGTAATTTGCTGTAGGGTCTAGGCCCGAAACGTCAGCCTCTCTGCTCCTATGATGCTGCTTGGCCTGCTGTGTTCATCCAGCCCTGCACCTTGTTGTCCCTGTAATTTGCTGTAGTTTGGCAAAGGAAATTGTCTGGGCATAAGCCATTCATAAACTTCTTCCCCACTGTTATTAAACTTCTGAATGGACCTCTCAAATTTCAAATCTAATGTTGATGTCGCTTTTCGTGCATCTTCTTTGCATCTGTAACTTTGTATTCCCCACTCTGTTCTAGCATCCTATGATCTTTGTATGGTATGATCTGCCTGTACTGCACGCAAAGCAAAACTTTTCATTGTACAGAGCTACATCTGACAATAATAAATTAATCCAAATCCTCTTTAGTTGGTACAAATAATTCCGAAACAAATAATAACAGGTCACATGAAAGGTTTATAGAGTCGTAGAGTTGAACAGCATGGAAACAAATCCTTCATCCAACTAATCCATGCCAACCAGCTATCCTCTATTAATCTAGTCCCATTTGCCAGCATTTGGCCCATATCCCTCTAAACCCTTCTTATTCATGTACCCATCCAGGTGCCTTTTAAATGTTATAATTGTACCAGACTCCACCACTTCCTTTGGCAGCTCATTTCATACACGCACCACTCTCTGAATGAAAATGTTGTCCCTGTGATCCAATTTAAATCATTTTCCTCTCATCTTAAACCTATGCCATCTAGTTTTGGACTCCCCTACCCTGGGAAAAAGATCTTGGTTTAACTTGCCAGAATAGCAATTATCTGAAACATGAGTGAAACTATCAATAGGATGACAAAGTAAGGGAATGATATCTGTTAGCTTAATGGGAAAAAAAATTCCATTAAATAAGAGAAATAAAAGTATCAATCAGGGACAAGTCAATAAAATTCTCATTATATGGAGTTGTATTTTCAACCTAATGTAGAATGATATTGACTCATAAATGAATTAGTAGTTTGTCGTGAGTATTTGGATCTGTAAAACCCAAGATATTGGACTCAAAATGGAAGCACATTTGAAACCCCAAACCACACTAGACCATCATTAGATATGACTGCAAAAATTACCTGTTCATTCAATGTTCAAATACTATATCTCACTTTAATGTTCAAGAGCTTTATTGTCAACCTCATCCACGGGTTAAAGGAAGGATATTGGACCTAACCTGTTTCATCTGTCTAGAAAGACCATTGGTGGAACATATGGACTTGACACATTTACTTGAAACATTAGATCCTTTTCAACTTAATCCTCAGCTAGGAATATATTTTCCTCTAAGTAAACATAAGGAAAGAAATGTTTTCATGAAGTAATCATAATAGACTAAACAGTTTATCAAATTCACCTTAACTTTACAATAAGAGAAAAGGAAAGTCACCAAAGATATTTTCCCCATATTTTTAGAAAATAGACCAATGAGTATGACTGCCATAACTTTCCAAATACTTTATGATATAAGTCCCTTGTATATTTTTCAATGACACAGTATAAGGATAGATTTCTATCTTGAAAGTAAAATGCAGTATTTTAGATCTTTTGCAAATAATTATTATTGTTTAAATTGCTGTAATGGAAATTAATAAGTAGTATCTTTTTATAGAAAAGCATTCAAGGGATCTCTGAGCACAGGAAAGGAAAACCTATTGTGACATTTTGAGAATTGCAAAAGTTTTACTTTGTCATTTCACAAGCATAAAGATGCAATGTCAATATGGGGTAATTACAATGATGGCTGATGTTTAGGGCTAAATGCCATTGTGACGTGCAGCTTGACTCGGAATATTTCCCAACTTTGGCAGATCCATCTGCCTATAAATGCCCCCTGCATGTACTGTTTTTCCTTTGGAAGCTGTTCTTATAGAACTGCAAAGCAGGTGAATGTTGATGCACGCTGGTAAGAATGTCTGCCTTGGTTCTCTGGGACTTTATCGCAGTTCTGTGAGCTGTGAGTTCTGGCTCTAGTCTACATCCCTCACATCCCCTCACACTCCCAACACTTCCCATGCCACTTCCATGCACCTCCATGACCTCTCTGCATTCTCCTACTTGCCCAGTACGTGCTATAGAACAATTAGCTACATAATGACAATCGGGTGTCTTGGAATAGGCTTTTAAAAAACCCATTCAGAAATTTGCTTTGAAAAAGCTGCTGTTCTTGCAAGTCTATCCAAAAGTGTCAATCAAACAGAATAATTATAATATCAATAGCAGAATCTACACTTCACCTCATACCTCTTCATCTTATCCAAGTAAATAAAATGAATTGAATCAGCTTTATTGTCACATGTACTCAAATGATAACAGCATCATCTTTGGTACAAAGGTGTCTAGGTACAGCTACAAGATCTTAAAAAATAGAGAAATAATAAGTCCAGCATTGCAGAAATGAAAGTTCAGACCAATGGTCTTCCAAACCAGACCACAATGGCACCTAGCCTCCAATCTGCACCAGGCCTCATCTCAAGGTTCATGAGGCTGAAATGAATAGGCATTGAAAATCATCAGGAATAGAATAACTTATTATAATTTCGAAATGATGCCAGTCAATCAAAGCAAATACTCTACTTCAAGAATGAAACATCTGAGCTTATCCATTAGTAAGTGTTGGAGCTCAGCAAATTATTCATTAAGTGGTCATCTGTAAACTCTATCAAATGAAACAGATGACCAGACATCCAATTGGCCAAATTAAATCTGGTTCACATTTACCAACGGCCAATAAAAATGGTCAATTAGTTTAATAAATTATAGCATTGATTAATAAATTTATCAACAGATTACAGTTTTGGTACATAGCCATCTTCACAATACTTTGATTTAATAAATCACTTGTGGGAAGAAGGATTGCAGGATATATGTAAATTCTGTAATCAAGATTCATTTTATTTTTTTCCTGTAGGTCTCAATATATTGGACTTGGCACGTACTGTAAATTGAAAAATGATGCACGAGCTGAAGAGAAACCCATTTTGTTGGCTTATTCTGTGTCTGGTCCTGCAAGGTAAAACTGCTGAATGCTTGAGAGGGAGAGTGAAATATTCATCAGCAATTTACATCTATATTGTCTACCTTAAATCTCAATGTAGCTTAGAGCTGCAGAGGGCAATAAATAAAAACAAGAAAAAACTAATTATTGTTTGGTAGTACTGAACTTGAATATTCCTGAAAAGAAACACATTTTGTCAAAGAGTTTTCTCTTGCACTCAACAGCTCATTTGCAAGAACATTAAAGGGCAACATTATTTTATACTGTTTGAGAAGAGAGTACTGATTGATTGCCAAGTGGACTCTGAATAGTACAGATGTTGTCATGGAGAATACTCCATAGATAATGACTGGGAACAAAAACAAAGTTGCTGGAAAAGCTCACCGGACCTATGATTGTCTTCAGCTCCCGAATAAAGTAACATTTGTGCCCGTTTTACTTCATATTAAAAACTGGCCTCGGAGGAATGGTGCTGTGTATCCTGGAGACTGAGGTTAGTTTGCAGAATTATAGAAGTTTGCTTATGTGCGATGCGCCCAATCTCAGAACAGGAATTGAAGTATAACTACAGGTTGGATTTCTAGGACTTTGATGGACACAGGTGTTAGATATTGGATTACAAAACTGATTTTGATTGGACGAGCATGTCAATGATTTATCACAGTATGATGTGTTCGTTACATTTGGCTCATGTTTCAGTTTGTGACAACATTAAAAAATGTCAAATAGCTTTCTTTGCAGCAAATAGGCTCTGCACTTGCCTCTCTGTGGAATTATCACTTCCTGTCTCTACCTCACTTACTCTCTTGCAAAAGCCTCCTAAAAAACAAACTGAGAGGTCATTCAAAAGAGAAAAATTGCAGGTCCACAGGGAAAGTGTTGGGCTGGGAGCAATGGGACTAATTGGACAGTTTCATCAAAGAAATGACTCAAGGGTCACCGGACCCGAAACATTAACTCTGTTTTCTCCTTCACAGATGCTGCCAGACCTGCTGAGCTTTTCCAGCAACTTTGTTTTTGTTCCTGATCTACAGCATCCGCAGCTCTTTCGGTTTTTATTTAGATAATGACTGGGTGTCAATTGCCAAACTTTGTTTGATTTTAATTTAAAGTAGGCAATTTGACTCTGATTAATTGACGCTTTCCCTGAGGAAAGAACGAGATAATTGCTGTCACCTACTTTGTTAAAATTGAAATTGACACAATGTGTGAACATGTTCTTTCTGTCTGCAGCTTGTTGAGCTTGGCAGTTAACTGTCGGCTGTTGTCTAATAGTTGCAGTCTCCCTGTCAATGCCTCGACCAATCAGAATCCATTTGCCAACCAGTTAGCACTCTCTTCTCATACCCTATTAATGTTAATCCCTGTTGCTTTGGTATTCCTGCAAATTGTTTTGTTGAGTGCAAGACAAAAAAGCTTCAACATAATGCGTCGTTTTTCAGCAATACTTAATAATAGGAAGAAAAGAGCCGGGACAGATGAATATGTTTTCTAATAGAATCTTACAGCACAAAGGAGATGCCTCAGCCCATTCTGCTTGAGTCATTTCTTTGATGAAACTGTCTAATTAGTCCCGTTGCCCCTAGCCCAACATTTTCCCTGTGGACCTGCAATTTTTCTCTTTTGAATGACCTCTCAGTTTGTTTTTTAGGAGGCTTTTGCAAGAGAGTAAGTGAGGTAGAGACAGGAAGTGATAATTCCACAGAGAGGCAAGTGCAGAGCCTATTTGCTGCAAAGAAAGCTATTTGACATTTTTTAATGTTGTCACAAACTGAAACATGAGCCAAACGTAACGAACACATCATACTGTGATAAATCATTGACACGCTCGTCCAATCAAAATCAGTTTTGTAATCCAATATCTAACACCTGTGTCCATCAAAGTCATAGAAATCCAACCTGTAGTTATACTTCAGTTCCTGTTCTGAGATTGGGCGCATCGCACATAAGCAAACTTCCATAATTCTGCAAACTAACCTCAGTCTCCAGGATACACAGCACCGTTCCTCCGAGGCCAGTTTTTAATATGAAGTAAAACGGGCACAAATGTTACTTTATTCGGAAACTGAAGACAATCATATTAGTGTTTCACACTTCTCCGATGATCCTGTTGGCCTTCCTTTGGATAAACGTATGGATGATAATGGAATAGTGTAGGTTAGATGGGCTTCAGATTGGTTTCACAGGTCGGCACAACATCGAGGGCCGAAGGGCCTGTACTGCGCTGTAATGTTCTAAATGTTACAATGAGATGTATCAGCGAGATGTGTGTGAGCTGGTGTAAAGTTGGAATGTGAGATAGGGAATGGAAGTCTTGAATTGTGTCAATTCAGTATGTTCTGATGTCAAATCGTGACCTGAGTCATGGAATAAAGAGTTACTTTTTATGCCAATTGTTGCAAAAAACTTTGTGTCAAAAAAAATTATAATGTAACCACAACTAAGATAACAGATGCATTTTGCCTGTATTTTGCGATCTGAGATTAAGTCAGTCTGTCTGCATTCTTGATGTGATTTAATGCTTAGTTGAGCTTCCATCCTGATGTTTGTGCTACCCCTAAGACTAAATACTTCCACCTCCATAAGATTGCTTGACTTTTCAGCTCATCTGCTGCTGAAATTCTCTTCCATTTGTTTGTCACATCTGGACCTGACTATTTCAACACACTGCGACTGGTCTCCCATGATCTACCTGCTGTAAATTTGAGGTCATTTAAACACTGCTGCCCACGTCTGAACTTGTAGCATGTCCAGTTTCCCTATCAGCACAGCTCGCTGAACTACATTGGTACCTACTCAAGGAACGTCTTGATTTTAAAATTTTCAGCTCCTTTCATGGCCTTACCCTCCCCTTCCTGTATTCTTCTCCAACCCCTCAATCCTCCAAGAAATCGTTACTCCTCTCATTCAAGTTCTTGTTCGTTGCAAATCATAATTGTTCCATCATTGGTGGCAGTGCCCCTTATTGCCTAGACCCCAAACCTTGGAATTTTCTCCCTAAGCAGCTCCCTTCCCACCTTTAAGGCCAACTCTTTGACCACACTTTTGGCTGACTGACAATATCTTCCGTGTGATTTGGTTTTAAACCCTGTTTTGTAATAGACGTGTGAAATGCCTTCATTACATTAAAAGTGCTATAGAAATATAAGTTGTTGTACCCCAGTAGTGACAAACACCAACATGTTCATCACTATTGGGAAGTGGAACTATATATTTCCAGTGCTACACACATATATGTAGGGGCCTGTACTTGGGGCTGATTACAGAATCACAGAAGTATTATGGTGCAGAAAGAGGCCATTTGGCCCATTGTGTCTGCACCAGCTCTTCCAACAAGCGTCATTACCTAATGCCAATCTCCTGCTTTCTCCCCATACCCTTGTACATTGATTCTATTCACAAATATCATCTATTACCCTGTTGAATACCTCAACTGAACAGCATTGATTGCCCACAGGTTACACTGCCTTTCACACTTTTTTTAGAACAGATATATTAGGAGATGGAGTGCCTGCTTTGGAGCACTTCACCCTACTAGGCCAATCACTGAAGGGATGAATAGCAGAGGTGGCTGTTGCTGTGGAGTTAATAAAGGAAATAAATAAACAAAGCACTCTTGTTTTTCCACTGCTTTCTTTCAACACAGTGGACAATTTTGTTTAATTTGCTAAAATAAAAACAATTGTATCTGTCATGAAACGTTTTGCCAACACATCTGGTTGTAAGAGGCACAACTCACATTAACTCACTCCAGCATGGAGATGGATGACAATATGAACCTTGATTTGTACTATTCTAAAATATCTATGGAGGAAATCATTAGCTGGTTTAATTTTGTCGGCTATCCCTCTGAATTGCATTGTCTCATGTAAATCTACTCACAGAGGCCATCTATGTACTTTGCAATTAAAGACCATGGTGTCTCACTCTTTTGAGAAATGAGAGCAGATTGTAGCAGTGTCGTACCCACATTCACTCCAAAGATGATTGTGCATTAATAAATGAACAAAGCTTTGATGAAATGTTATTGCAGAAATTATATTTAAGCAGAGAGTGGTGTGATAAATATGTAATCTAATAGTGTTGGTTCATTAAACTAGAGACTGAAAGAAGTTTTTACTTCTAAACCATCTACTCAATCATGTTAGTTCTAAAAGTGAATTCCAGTCACAGTTGCAAAGTTATTTGCATGGAATCTGAACTTTACAACCACAGGCAAATAAAACTTTGATATTCAATATGTTAGTCATAATTGGGTAGAGGTCAGATAAAATGGAACAGCTCTGAAAGAATAGCACAGTTTAAAACATTCATGAATATTTAAACCTGAAAAATCTGGTATTCCCCTGTTAAAACAACACAGCTAATAAGGAGAAAGCAAGAACTGCAGATGCTGGAGTCAGAGATAATAAAGTGTGGAGCTGGAGGAACACAGCAGGTCAGGCAGCATCAAAGGAGTAGGAAAGTTGATGTTTCGGATCGGGACCTTTCTTCAGAAAACTAATAAGGAAATGGTATTTATCCTGAGGTCGGGAAGCTAATTTTTCAGAAACCATTTTACATTTCCAGCCAGGTAGAAGGAATAATTGGTTAATATTGGAAGGAAGGAATGTACAGTGCATCTAGAGATAGTTGAAAATATATCGTTGAAAAGAGAGAAGCTTCCTTTATGTCTTGCACTCATCAGGATAAGTGCAAAAATGCCAAATGTGCTGAGGAGTCAAGGTGAAAACACTTGCAACACGTCTCCCTTTTCAACAACATTCCAGTTCTCTACTACCAAGTGACAGCTCATGTTCTGATTCTACATGTTTAACCTAAATAAGGGTGTGTCAAGCAAAGGTGTTTGTGTAATGGCACAGATCGCAGTATCTTAATCAAACAACTTTGCAGAAACTGAAAAGTAGTGTGCAAAATATGACGTGCATGGGGATTAGCAAATTGCAGATCAATAGAGTGAAGAAGATGGGTGCCCATTAAGAGGCTAAGATTTTGATGTATCTGTTTTAGCTGCCTAATGCCACATGGCTGGGTGTAAAACATCAGCTTAAAATCGCTGAAATATTAAGTGGCAGCTATTGCTGTCAGCAGCTAATCATGGGACCTGAGAGGTTAAACTCACGTAAAACCATTTGAAAGGTACATTTCTTTCTGAACAACAATCATGAGTTTTGTTTAAAAATAGTACCCTTTGAATATTTATTAGATTGCGTTTTCATGAAATTCTAGATAAAAAAAAATCCTACAAGATTTGGTTTGAGCTGGTTTTAAAGTGTGTCAAATTTTAGAGATCCCCAGTCATTGCTTCACCAGCTATCCTTTCCTTTGGCTGAACTTTCAGTAATTAATTGGATTTTTGTTACATTCAGCCAATGATTGCAATGATGACTCACTCGTTTGGAAAAAATTAAGATTGTTAGAATCTGAGTAAAACAGAGGTAGAAGTAAAGTCACCTCTGTCCTACTGTGTCCTAAAGTTTAATGGTAAAAGTCAATGGATTATGAATTAACCAGCGGCTTTATCTGTTACATCACATTACCATTAATAGATATTGATGGTGGAAATTCAGGCAGCGCTGTTGCTGTAGGAAGGACAGTGGAGCAGATCTTCCTGAAAGTAGGGTTAATATTTTAATCTGGCAGGCAATCATGCCAGGAATGGCACTCCAGGGATCCCCAGCCAGCTTTCATTCTCGGATTTCAGAGTGGCTCCCTGAACCGCAAACAAGGTACATTGGCTGAAACCAGTGGAGCATTTGCTTCCCTTCAAAAGGCACTCCAACAAGGCTGGGCCATGTTTAGAATGGTATTAAATCACAAATGAGTGATTGCAGCCAGACATTTTCTCTGAACTGTCCACTTGTGTCTCAGAACGGGACTAGCATCTACATCCTGTAGGAACTGGGACAGCTGGGTTTAACAGCAACATTGATCGATGAATTGCTGGGGGTGTCCTCAGATGTTCTTCCAACTCGATGTCGAGGGAATACATGGAGAATTTTTTTTTAATTTGCTCATGGGATGTGGGACTTACTGGCTGGCCAGCATTTATTGCCCATTCTTGGTCTCCCCTTGAGAAGAAGGTGGTGAGCTGCCTTTTGAACTGCTGCAGTCCACCTGCTGTAGGTGGACCCACAATACTCTTAGAGAGGGAATTCCAGGATTTTGACCCTACGACAGTGAAGGAATGGCAATATATTTCCATGTCAGGATAGTGAGTAGCTTGGAGGAGAACTTGCAGGTGGTGGTGTTCCAGGTGGAATATCTGCTGCCCTTGTCCTCCTAGATGGAAGTGGTTGTGGGTTTAGAAGGTGCTGTCTGTCAAAGGATCTTTGGTGAATTTCTGCAGTGCATCTTGTGTCTTATAGTGCCCAAAGTCCTATGTCAGAATGTCAGTTGCCTGATCCAGGAGATGGAAACACTTATTGTGTTTCCTGGCATCTGAATACTTCCCCATCTCATGGTGCTCCAATGCTGAAGTACTGTCCCAAGAAAAGATGGAAATCCTGACTGGGAATGTCGTGGGCCGGATTAATCATTTGAATGAATGCTGTCCTATTGGATAAAATAATCATGCTCAGTTCTTTTTCAAACTGTTGTGCAGTTTACAGCAAAAAGATCATGACACTTTTTTATGCTTGTGCTAAAACCCTTACAGGAATGGAAAGTTTTATAATAAAGAGTTCTGACAATCAATGCTTGGAAGCGTATTTGGAGAGTGATCGGGTAGTGATGGACAGTTGTAATCCAGACTCGCAGCTCCAAGACTGGGCATGGAAACAAAAGCGGTTTATCAATCAGGGCACACAGAGGTGTCTTTCTGCAGACCAGACTCTCCTTGTTCAGACTGCAGCTTGTGCGAATGTGGCCAACCTAAAGTGGTTGTGCCGCAAACATCGACTTATCCACACGGCCACATCCATGTTTCTGATCGCTGACGGAAACGTGGTGTCCATTTCCGAAGAAAGAAAAAAAAATTCCAGGTGGAGCTCAACAAACGACACAGGCATTTGTGAGATGCTTTTGCAGAGTAAGACTGAACAGAACAGATCTTGAACTACACAGCATAGAAATTCAGATTTTATATGTTACTTTCATTTCTGATGCTACCAGCATAGCAACTGATCAATCAACTTCCTAGAAAACATTAAGCTGTAGAAACCTATTGCACAGAAGGAGACCACTCCACCCATAATGGCTCTTTGAACAAACAGTTTGTGATGAATTTCACATTTTTATTTTTTGGAATGCAACCTGATTGGGATTAAAGGATCGTGAGTGGTGTGAAATGATTTGGTTATTTAGCAGTAATGAAATTGATGAAAGACAGTTTCCATTCATTATCAGCTTCATTATCTGTTACTGTTTGAGGTTCTGTTGTGCCATTTTTTTTTGATTCAACAGTTTCAGTAAGCTGATAGCGATGTTGTGATTGAAAAGCAGAGAAGTGACAGGGCAGAACTCAGAAATCAAATATATTTACAAAATTTAGTTTTAAAATAGCAACCGTGATTTGATTAGACGGCCACTGAGTGATCATATACAATTCATTAATTCTGTCCACAAACTGACAGGCACAATGTGTGCTTGCAATGCAATTGAATGGAGCTGTACCCCGTGGGTGGTAAGTCACACTCACATCAAATGTTCATGGAGTTCTTTCATCTCAACAGTCTTAAGAGTCCAGAAAGAACTAAAGAACTGCAGAAAGACCATTGCTCCAGAAAGTGAAACTGAAGCCTGAATTTGAAGCCAGTCATTTCTCTTTCCTATTTGTTTGGTCGTCTAGGCGTGCCTCATGCAGTAATATCATTCAACACAGGCTTGGCGTTCTACTGAGTTTCATACCAATGGTGCCATCATCAAGTAAACCATTCAGGTTCCAGGCAGTTGTAAAAACAAAGTATGTGCCCCCAACACAGAAATGGCTCCCATAATCCACCTGCACAGTTGCCCCCATGATGTCATGGCAATGTAACACAACACTGAAACCAGTACTATAGTAAGTTTCATGAAAACTCAGCAACAATTATAATCAGTCTGTAACAAACAAAACACAGAAATTGCTGGAGAAACTCTGCAGCATCTATGGAGAGAAAATGGTTCATGTTTTGAGTCCAGTGATCCTTCTTCAGAACCCTTCTGGTGAATGGTCACATGGACTCAAAACACTAAATCTGTTTCTCTCTCCACAGATGTTACCAGGCTTGCTGAGTTTCTCTTGCAATTTCTGTATTTATTTATTTCCAATCTCCAGCATTCACAGTTCTTTGTTTCAGAATCAGTCTGTGCATTTTTTTTCTTGCTGGGACAGTCTCTCGTTTCAAATGAATAGGGAGCTAATTAATTGCTAGACAACATTGCACTGCACCTGTACATGGAGGCCAGGCTATTTAATAATCATGAGAAGTGCCAATTTGCAAAGAATTTTACAGTTGAGATAACAAGGTGTAGAGCTGGATGAACACAGCAGGCCAAGCAGCATCAGAGGAGCAGGAAAGCTGACGTTTCGGGCCTAGATCCTTCTTCAGAAATGGGGGAGGGGAAGGGGGTTCTGAAATAAATAGGGAGAGAGGGGGAGGCAGATAGAAGATGGATAGAGGAGAAGATAGGTGGAGAGGAGACAGACAGGTCAAAGAGGCGGAGATGGAGCCAGTAAAGGTGAGTGTAGGTGGGGAGTTAGGGAGGGGATAGGTCAGTTCAAGGAGGACGGACAGGTCAAGGGCGTGGGATGAGGTTAGTAGGTAGGAGATGGGGGTGGGGTTTGAAGTGGGAGGAGGGGATAGGTGGGAGGAAGGACAGGTTAGGGAGGCGGGGACAAGCTGGACTGGTTTTGGGATGCGGTAGGGGGAGGGGAGATTTTGAAGCTTGTGAAGTCCACATTGATACCATTGGGCTGCAGGGTTCCCGAGCGGAATATGAGGTGCTGTACCTGCAACCTTCGGGTGGCAGCATTGTGGCACTGCAGGAGGCCCAGGATGGACATGTCATCTGAGGAATGGGAGGGGGAGTTGAAATGGTTCGCGACTGGGAGGTGCAGTTGTTTAGAGCATAGGTGTTCTGCAAAGCGGTCCCCAAGCCTCCGCTTGGTTTCCCCGATGTAGGGAACAGTGGATACAGTATACCACATTAGCAGATGTGCAGGTGAACATCTGCTTGATGCGGAAAGTCTTCTTGGGGCCTGGGATGGGGTTGAGGGGGGAGGTGTAGGGGCAGGTGTAGCACTTCTTGCGGATGCAGGGAAAGTGCCGGGTGTGGTGGAGCTGGAGAGGAGTGTGGAGCGGATCGGGGAGTCACGGAGAGTGTGGTCCCTCCGGAAAGCAGATAAGGGTGCGGAGGGAAAAATGTCTTTAGTGGTGGGGTCGGTTTGCAGATGGCGGAAGTGTCGGAGGATGGTGCATTGGATGATGTGTTTTCTGAGCTCTTACAACCAGTTTAGAATCTAACATAGGAAATTGTTGTGGTCTGGTTGTTTCTTTCCTGTTTGGAACAAATTTCAGTGGAACAGATTTGGTTCTTTTTGCAACATTCAGTCTGGTGTAACTTTATCTCCTTTCACTTTCACAGACTGTGACACCCGACCTCAAGGTGGCGCTGCTCATAATTGCAGCCTCTAACAAAAAGTGAGCTGCATTTGTATTGCCCCTTTTGTCATTGTCACAGCCTCAGGAATATCCTCGAGTACTTTACACCTAATGGAGTACTTTTTGAAGTGAGATCTCCAATTTAATTTAAGAAAAGCAGCAACCTATTTGCAAGTAGCACACAAACCACAAAGTGATTATATGATAATCTGATTTCTAGTGACGTGGAGGATAAGCATTACACCACAATAATAAGGAGAACTCCCTGTCCCCTCTTTGAAAACGTGGTGGGAAATATTTTGCCTTTCATCTGATAGGGCAGTTAGGTCCTTATTTTAACATTTCATCGATTGAAAGCGCACCTGACTATATAGCATTTCCTCGTACAGCAAAGGTTTGTAAGCCTACATTTTGTCCTCCAGTTTACATACGAACATGACATTCAATAAAATCATGGTCCATTACAAATTCCACATTTCCAACTACCCTTGGTTACCTTTGACTCCCCTGTGGAACAAGAATCTATCTGCCTTGGCCTTAAAAATATTTAATGACCCTACCTTCACTGCTTTCTGATGTAGAAAGTTCAAAAGTCGCACAACCCTTTGTGAGAAAAATAGTTCCCGTCATATCTGTGCAAAAGGCAACTTTTACTTTCAAAACAGTGCCCCCTAGTTCTGGATTGACCCATAGAGGAAACATGTTTCCACTTCTCCCTTATCAAAACCAATCAAGGGTTTATACTCTTCAGACAATTCACTCCTCACTCTTCTAAACTCCACTGAGAACATGCTGAACCAGTCCAACCTATTGTCATAGGATAGCCTGTTAATTTCTGGGATCAATCTAGTAAACCTCTCTGAATCACCTCCAATTCATTATGTCCTTCCTTAAATAGGGCGACCGAAACTGCACACAGTATTCAAAATATGGCTTTACCAATGCTCTGTATAACTAAAGTGTAACATCCTTTTACGTTCAATTCCTTTCATAGTAAAAGATAGCATTCCATTAGTCTTCTTCATAACCTTGCTGGAGTTTCTGAAACAGGACTTAAACCCACTCATTTCTGTTTCAGGCATGCAAGTTTTTACACATTGAGTCGCAGTTGATGCATAGTGGCAATTGATTTGCAAAGGGTGGGGTTGTAGATTTAGGCTTTTAGTAAGCATAAAGCCCTAGTGAATATTTTCTAATCTCACTGAACAGGAAACCCAGAGACAACATCAGCAAAGACTCAAATGTTACCAGCGCAATTTGAAGAAAGCCTTGATGGGGTCATCAGCGATGTGAGACAGAATAACACCCAAGTGGAAGAAACTACCACAGAGAAACAACAACCTTATCCAATGGAAGACTGTATGTGGTGTTCCTCATTTTTCTCATTTTAATATATGTTACTTTGTGTGGAAAGAGCTTGCACTGAAGAGCTGGTGAATGATGTATGATTAATACTGTTCAAATTTGCTGATCCAGGCCATTTAAGATAACTTCAAAGGCTTAAGAAGGAATGTTCATGGAGGTAATTCTTTTTCCAGTAAATTAACCTGATTCCATCTACAGTTTCTAAAACTTTTACGACATTAAGAGCTGTTGCCACACTATAAGTAATAGATCTGAGAATGGCACCAGCTGAGTTTGGCTCAGGGATGACTTCTCGAAATTATATGATTGGCTTTGTGCCACATCATTGCCCAGTGCAAACAGGCCTCTGCACATGGAGTTGTTTGCATACATGGACAAAATTCCAGTCAGGCACCTGGGCATTGATTTAACATTAGTGTCAACAGATCCTGTGAACTTTCCCTGACAGCAGGTTAATTTTCCCTTCCTATTCTCATGGGTTTTCTCCCCCCTCTCTTCCTCAATGATTCCTGGAATAGGAGTCCCCATACCCACCTACACGCCCCTCCCCGCATCATTGGATCACCCATCTCCAGGTGAAACATCTAAAAATCAATTAATGATTTAAACATAACAATGTTTTGCAGTTAATGGGCTCTCGGTCTCAATTGAGCATTTGTTCTTGCCATTGACTATGATTGTTTGATCTTGTGCACACGTCATTCGTCAGTCTATCCATCAGGCTGGGGGATTGTAAAAATGAAAATACACTGAGCTGTAGCAGACAAGCCAATATTTGCAAGGGGAAGGTAGGGTTAACTTTTCAGGTGGCTATGCCTTGTCAGAATTGATAACATGTCTGTTCTCTTTCATTCTTTTTCACTTTCATATCCCAGGACAAAATCCATCATGTTGTAGGCACTGATCACAAGTTGTTATGCAGTTCTGTAAGGCAGTGTAAGGAGGCTTCCTTCAGAGATAATGCTGTTCAGCAAAGTAACTCTTACCTCTACAGCAGGAACATTTACTGCAGAATGCTCTAAGCTGCCTGTTACCTTCTGATGACGTATTCATAACTCACATCAACAAAAGAGGTGCAGCTTTGTGTCAAATGTCAGTTCACTAGAAGGTGAGCTATTTGACACACAATATTATTTAATGGGCAGAATTTTCTTTTTTTTCAGCCAAATCTATGAGGCAAGAGAAATGAGGCTGTGTAGGTGAAAATTCATAGAATCATAGAATCCCTACAGTGTGGAAGCAGGCCATTCACCCCTTTGAATCTATACCACCCCTCAGAAGAGCATCCCATCCTGACCCACCCTCTGTCCCTGCATTCCCACCCTAGACGCTATGGGCAATTTAGCATGGCCAATTCACCTAAGCTGCACATCTTTGGACTGTGGGAGGAAACCAGGGCACCCAGAGGAAACCTGCACAGACACGGGGAAAATGCGCAAACTTCACAGTCACCCGAGGGTGGAATCAAACCCGGGTCCCTGGCGCTGTGAGGCAGCAGTGCTAACCACTGAGCCACCGTGCCGCCCCTAAAATTTATAATTTTAAAAGTTAGGAAAAATGATTGTTATTTATAATGACATTTCTAGGGATGTCATTAAAGCAAACAGCACAAATAAGGTGACCATCTCTTGCAGAAATGAAGGATTTATTTCCATTATTCATTCTGGAGAATAGGTTGTCATTTGCAGAGGCATTATTTTTTGTCCATTTCAAGTTATCCTGAGAAGGTGGTGATAGTCCAGCTTGATCAACCACCTCTAAGAGGAGTTAAAGCACATCCATGACAGGCTGGCGTCACCTATTGGCCAGTGAAGGTAAGGACAGCAGGTTTCCTTCCATAAATTGGAATTGGAATCTATTTTCCTTCGAATTATCAGTCCAGTGATATAGCCATATGCTGCTGTAACAGGAAGAAGATACTCAACCAAAGTTAGAGATTTGTTTTGACTTTGATCTGAGTTATTATTGTCACATGTAGTAAGATACAGTGAAAAGTATCATTTTGCATGCTAACCAGATAAAACTCATACTTTATATAAGTACATCAGGATAACAGAGCAGAATATACTGTTACAGCTACAGAGAAGGTACAGAGAATATATGAGAGACCCATTTATAAATCTAACTACAGCAGGGAAGAAGCTGTTCTTGAAGCTGTTGGTATGTGTTTTCAAATTTTTGTGTCTTCTGCCCGATGGAAGAGGGTGGAAGCATGTAAAATTAAGGTGAGAAGAGCCTTTGATTATGTTAGCTGCTTTCCCAAGGCAGCAGGAAGTGTAGATGGAGTCAATGGAAGGAAGGCTGGTTTGTGTGATGGATTGGGCTGTGTTTACAACTCTGTGTAATTTTTTGCGGTATTGGGCAAAGCAGTTGTCATTATCAAGCTGTGATGCATTCGGATAGGATGGTGCATCTATAAAAATTGGTAAGAGTCATTGTGGACATGCCAAGTTTCCTTAGCCTTCTGAGGAAGTAGAGGTGTTGTTGTGGTTTCGTGACTGTAGCATTTACATGGATGGACCAAGACAGATTGTTGGTGATATTTATTCCTAAGAACTTGAAGCTCTTGACTCCACCTCAGCACCATTGATCCAGACAGGGGTGTGCCCTCCACTCTGCTTCCTGAAGTCAATGACCAGCTCCTTCATTTTGCTGACATTGAGGGAGAGATTGTTGTCTTTACACCAGACCACTAAGATCTATCTCTTTCTTGTATTCTGTCTGATATTCCTTTATGTTCCACAAATCTCTTTCTTGCTTTCAAACAGCACTGTTAGCAGTGTTATCAATATGAGGATATGGTTCATAGGTCTGAGTAAATACATTTGATATAATATCAGCATTCAGTTAAAGTTAGAAATGCATCAGCATCTGACAAGAGAGAACAGAGTCATCCATTGGGTGAATCAGAAAGGTAAGTCGATCTCCAAATAGAATGGACAAGATGAGGGAGTGGAGGAGGTTGGAGAGACAGAAAGGGTTTCATCGCTGCTGCTTTCTTGTGTGATTTTTACCAGATTGTCTGGCTATTTTCATGTCTTTACGTTACTTCTATATCAGCCTCTGGTCTTCATTTCTAACACATTTTTAAAAATCTGCTTGTAGCTTTTCTCATTAATTCTTTGTGGCTGAACTTGACATTTGGTATGCTTGTCATTATTGGTCAGTGCATTGAGTATAGGAGTTGGGAAGTCACATTGCGGCTATACAGGACATTTGTATTAGGCCTCTTCTGGAATACTGCATTCAGTTCTGGTCTCCCTGCTATAGGAAGGATGTTGTGAAACTTGAAAGGGTTCAGAAAAGATTTACAAGAATGTTGCTGGGTTTGGAAGGTTTAAGCTGTAGGGAGAGGCTGAATGAGCTGAAGGGTAGCATTGGTGGCTGAGGGGTGGCCCTAGAGAAGTTTATAAAATAACAAGGGGCCTGATTTTTCCCCAGGATAGGGGAGCCCAAAACTAGAGGGCAAAGGTTTAAGGTGAAAGGGGAAAGGGGAAAGATTTAAAAGGGACCTAAGGGGCAACTTTTTTATGCAGAGGATGGTGTGTGTATGGAATGAGCTGCCAGAGGAAGTGGTGAAAGCTGGCAACATTTAAAAGGCAGGGTTAGTAGGAACTGCAGATGCTGGAGAATCCGAGACAACAAGGTGCAGGGCTGGATGAACACAGCAGGCCAAGCAGCATCATAGGAGCAGAGAGGTTGACGTTTCGGGCCTAGACCCTTCATCAGAAAAGCTTTTCTGATGAA